TGTCCAGCTTTAACATCGGTATCGATATCGGTTATCGGCTACATGAGTTTTAAAATATCGGCATATCGGATATCGGCCAAAATCACAATATCGTGCATCCCTAAAAGAAATACAATTATAAAAACAATTTTGTCAGATATATCGCAATATATTTGCGTGGAACCGCTTCCACTTGATCATGAAGCTTCGGAAAAGAAGCTTGAGAAAATGGGAAAATGCAAATTTCAACAAAATGTGCTGAAAAAACGAAGAATTAAGGACATGGCTGCAGCCTGTCGACAGTAAAGATGAAGGATTTCACTGTATTTTATTTATATTTTTAGAGTCATGGGTATTTGCTGATGGCATTAAAATGATTTCTAAGAGCATTAAAAAGTATTAAATTGGAATTAATCCTTCCTGTTTTTCATGAATCTCTTCTAGAAGCACTTTGGTTATTTTTCTTAATATATTCGGGCAAGTTGGCGTTTCTTTTTATTACATTAACATTATTTTTGCCATCAAAATATCCAGATTTTTTTAATGTTACAAAGTTAATAAGTTCTTGTCCTGGATTCCAATAACAGTATTGTCTGGAAATGTTGATTTTAAAGTATTTCAGTGAGCACCCCATAAAGCAGGATTTATACTGCAGTAATAAACATTAATACTTTTGAGAGTTCTGGAGAGACATGCTTACGGGTAAGTATTAAAATTTCTGCCAAATCAGAGAAGATTCCTCAGAACAATATTTGCATGACTAACATTTCTTAAAACTGCAACGGCAAAATTTTGTAAGGATTTACTGTGAAAGCCGAACTCACGCCCAGCTGTGCACCATTGTGAAATGAAATGGAAAAGATGATTTTATTTTTTCTTTCACTGGTTTTATTGCATAACGAATATTTTTTATTCACACTATGTTCTGTAACGTTGACGTACTGCAGGTGTTTCCATCCTTACAGTTAAAATATAAGCGCCACTATGATGTCATTTACCTCAATGTGCCACATTTATGTGTTTGATTTGGTCTGTTTACATTAATCTGTGTCGACATGAACCGCAATCTATTCCAGCACTAAAAATGACTTTAGACTGTAAACTTTAGACTGAGTTTATTTGTTGTTTTGTTTACACAACTGTAAAACAAAAAGAAATTTCGTTTGGAAACAGCTCAATGGACAATTTCATCTTTTTAAAGTGTAGCCTTGAAAAATAGTCAAAATGACTGTAAATTTAATTTAAAATATATATATATATATATAAATAATTATGAAATATAATAATAAAATACAATAGAATAGAATAACGCATTCTATAAAACAGTTCATCAGTGTGATGGCGGTGGGGAAGAAGCTGC